TACATGTACTACATGGATTACAAATCGCATTTCAAAAATTTGGACACAAATTTGTGTCAAAAACGGTTTAAGGGATAGTGTTCGATTTCCATTTGTGTAATGGCATGTTACACGAAAAATATTTGCAGCCGATTTTATATGAAACGTGATCTACGTTCACCCTTAAATAAATCCTTAGAAATTGAACCAAATAACGTATTTGCATTAAGAAATCGTGGAGAGACTTATCGCATGATGAATAGATACGAAGAATCACTTGCAGATCTAAATAAATCATTAGAAATTGAACCAAATAATGCATTTGCATTAGGAGGTCGTGGAGATATTTATCGCAAGATGAATAGATGCGAAGAATCGCTTGCAGATTTAAATAAATCATTAGAAATTGAACCAAATGATGCATTAAGAATTCGTGGAGAAACTTATCGCATGATGAAAAGATATGAAGAATCACTAGCGGATTTAAATAAATCATTAGAAATTGAACCAAATAATGCATTTGCATTAAGAAGTCGTGGAAATACTTATTTAATGATGAATAGATATGAAGAATCACTTGCAGATTTAAGGGTAGGGTGAACGTAGATCATTTTCATATATGATCATCATGCAAAAAAATTTTTACCTATGTTTCACAAATACGCCCTAATAAAACTTTTTTAAATAACGATCAATTTTGGCCAAAAATTTGTGGCACGTAGGTCAAATCCTTCTATTTATGGTGGTAAAACTTTAAGCCCCGTACCATTTTAAAAAACCTTATGTGTATATATATTTGCCTAGGTTGATTGAAATTTGCCTAGGTAGTACAAAAATTTTTTTATTCGATTGACATTCTAGAATAATCGGTTATTCAATCAAAATCGATTAAATCGATTACGTTACCTGTTACCACTTTTGCAATGATCATAGATAATCTTTTTTTTTATATTCGTTACAGTAACTATTTTTTTTTTTCTTTTTTGCAGGTTTTTCAGTAGTCGATTATCGCTTTACCTACGTCGTTGGTGCCATCGTTACCAGTTGGGATTTGAAATACCTTCATCGTTGACATGGTCGTTGTTGGAGAAATACCTTGGAATCGTGAATACCTTCGTCTCTGGTGTCGAGTATGGTGTTTCGTTGAACTAGGATCTTGGTATGGTTCCACCGGTTTCTGTGTTATCGTGGCGTAATTTCCGTTGTGTGTTTTGCTTGCCGCTTTGACCACTTTGGGTGGTATAAAGCACTTAGTATGTACCGGTAGTATTTTTTCCTCAGTTCTTTTAACTAAGCTTTTTTTTTCAGGTTTTTCAGGTCGTTAATTATCGCTTTACCTACGTTATTGGTGTATCGTTACTGGAGTTTCGTTGTCAATCATTGAATTGTCTCTGGTGGTTTTTTTTGTTGAATTAATAGTTCCACCGGTTCTGGTATCTTCATGGTATAATTTTCGTGCGTGTTTGCTGCTTGGGTGGCGAGTATTTGATGTTGGAGTTCCTAATTCGTCTTAATTCGGTTACTTGCGTTGATGTGTTCATTACGCGGATACTGTATTAGAATTTGTTTTTTAGGATAGTTATAGTTAAGGTGGTTTAGGGTTAGGGTGATTAGGTAGGGTAGGTTGGGATGTTTAGTTATGAATTGTTAGGTATTTTAGTGGTAGTTTTATTATTATAGGGTTAGTATTAAAAATTATTGTTGCCCTATAGTGTATGTACGCGATAATACAGTACGTAATAAAAAAATTATTATATATCAGATATGTATATAAAATAAAAATAAATAGAAAAAAAGAATTCTAATCTTCACCGACGTTATATTACGATTTATATTATTTTTATATTTATTTCATTCGGGTATTAGGGATTTTATACATACAGTATTTATTTATATTTATTTATAATGCGCAAAACCATTTTTAAATATCTTTAATGCTGCAATAATGAACATCTGCCCCGCAATCTAATCCATACATACTAATTTAAATGCTAACTTAACCCTAACCTTCGCATAACTATCTAAACATGACCCTAACTCACACTAATCCTGCACTACTATCTAACCCTAACCTTGTCATTAAACCCAAATTTTATTTTAACACTCACTCGATGACCTACAATACTAGCAAAAGGAAGTCAAACGACCATTGAAATGCAGCACTACATGGTACCAACACAATATAGTACATGAAACTAGACAACACAAGCTAGTAATGCAACGCAACAGTGCACCAGCGAACTGCAACATAACATGTCGATGCGACACAACACCACACTAACGAATGCAACATGGCACAGTTGACGAAGTAGAAACACCAGTAAAGTGGCAAAAAGAGGCACCAACAAACAATGACGACGATACTATATACTAATATATATAAAAAAGCTTGTTGGTAAAAAAAATAAAAATACAGTACAAGCAAAAAAGAGTAAATTTGTAGAAGTTGACCGGTTATTTATAATAATAACTATCCTGAGCCGTTTCCGCTTGTATAGTGATCGGGGTATTATAAAATAAGATCGTACATATATCATGGAAGATTCTATCCCTTAAACCGTTTGTCATTTGGACACGAATTTGTGTCCAAATTTTCTTATACTCACTAATATTACAACTGTG